CTCACTGAACTCATCGGGGCGTGTCATTGACGCGGCGCCAGTGCGCTTTCCACTGCTCACTGAAGCCTAAAGCCGCAACGATCGTTAGAAAACGGGCTACTGCTGTGCCAAAAACCAAACCCTGCTGACACGTCCTGACCGGCTTCAGTAATAAAGACTGTACTTTTGATTTTTAGCGCGTCGTTCGTAAATGGAGGAACAACTGGAGCAATGATTGGCGCGTTGATGGGACCAGCGATAACTTATCTATCGCTCAGAGATATGAATACTGTACAGTTATATGACAAGTGTTACCGATTGAGGTACGTTTCTGGAAATTTGAAACATCGAGTGCGCCTAACGAATATTTTCCGAGCGCATGTTCAGGTTTGATAAGCAGCAACTATGGCAGGATCGCACGTGTGTAATATCGGCTGCTCTTGGTTATTTGACCAACGGCTCAATGGGATTTGTAGTCGGTCTGGACTTGGCTGTACTGATGAGCAATCTTATGGGAAAAGCCTGGTAGAAAAACAAACAGATGTGTATCATGATAAAATTGTACATTAAACTTGGCTTCCCATCCGTCAGCGATCCTTAGAAGTTATGATATTCAAAGTATGGTTTTATCTTTTATCGCGGAGTTCGATATGTTAGTTTCGCACTACCTCACAGCTATTTCCTCGGCATTAGGCTGGGATGCTACTTCTCTCCTGTAGGTTGACTTTGTACTGCCAGATTGTTTAAGCCCACTAGTCTTACCTTCTGCATTACTAGTTTGTAAAGTTCAAACATTAGCTGCATTAAAAGCGGTGTTGAAATTGTACTTCACATTACCAGGTACTTGCATTTCTGTCTTTGGGCTGTGTCTTTTCACCCTTGACGAAGCATATGCCCCAGTTCGATTTGTTGCTTACGTTCTGACAATTACTACCTGACAGATTCCATGTTCAAGTTCGTAGAATTAGTTTTGGTCACATTTTGTATGTGCCTTTTTTAGAGATTTCTATTTTCCACGTTTTATTAGTGATGTCAATAATTTAGAATATTCTGATTTGTCTAACCACAAGATAAAGCTTTTTTTGAGGATCGGCTGGATATATTTTCGAAGACTAGCTGACTTGTTTACGTGGCGGAATGATAGTATTGAAGAGGTCTTTTTTTACAGTAGTGCCTCGCTGTCAGGGGCAGAAAATAGCAGTTTGTCAGCAGCAGCAAGAGCCCGTATCATCAGAGTTAGTTAGAGGGAGGCGGAGTGCTATGCTCTTGTAGCTTTTTGCCATAGTGGGCCCATTTAAAGACAGCCCTCGCACAAATCGGGATGATAGTACTATGGTCATCCTTTCCTTTGTGTATGTAGTACAGCCCCCAAGATAGAGACTATCCCACTTCTCGGCGACTTGCACAGCAGGCGGAGGAAGAGAGCTACAGGCGCTAAAGTTCTAAGTTCTAACGGCCTGCTTAGGTGGGACCGCCTTTTGCTAGATGCCCCTCCGACGGGAGTCGCTCAGTTGTTCTTTTGTTCGGCAAGCGGGGCTAATTGGGAATTGAATGCTATTTCGCTAAACAGCGCTCAATGCGGCGGAAAAAAAGAGTCGCTCAGTTGTTCTTTGTTGGGGCGGCGGGCGTTAATCGGAATTGCATGTCCTTTTCGCTAACAGCGCTCATGCCCATGAATGATTCTGCTCTCCTTTATTACATTTTATTAATCAGGAGCACATACAGTGAACTCCAACACATCTCGCAAGATAAAACGCGTAAAAATCACGAGCGACCCAATTTTTGTGGTGCCAAAGCTCGACGCATTTCACTACACTAAAATATGCACGCTACCGTAACCTTAAATTCGGACGCCGGTTTTTCAAAGGTTTTTCTTTTCAAGAGTTTTTCCTCTTGTTTTGTTTTTTTGTATTCTTTTCTTCGCACTGGATGATATCAACTACTGCGAGATGTGATAGAGAGATTTGTGAGCCAGGGGTTGCACAGAGACCGCAGGGAGGTGTGACTGTCAGGGCGCGATTTTGTTTATGGTGTTCTTGAGGACTCTTCTTGCTTTTTCTTTTCTGGGGAATTACTTATCAGCTACTGTTTCATAATTGAACATCAACTATCCATGACACTTTTATCGCGGGAGCTGTCTTTAAGGCTTGCCAGGTTCATGCTCCCTATGCAAAATTCTGGGGCTGATTTTGGGCATTGATCTCTGGGCGAATCTTTCACGACAGAGACGGCCTATGCATCGGCGTAGCAGGATGGGAAGGCGCTGCGCAGTCGCACGATAACGTGCTGAGTTCGAGCTTGGTTCACCTGGCCTTGATGCAGACGTCAGAGGGGGGCAGAGGGCCTCTGCCTCTGGGGATTGTTTTCTCCCGAGGAGTAGTGTTGGGTAAGATCCCAGTCCGTAAGGACAAACGCCGCAAGGCAAACCCAGTACGGGAGAAGCCACGTGAAGATCGCTACATTCGGGGAGATGGCCAGCGAAACAACACACACTATGGGAGCATGACGTGTAGTTCGTCTGATTGAAATCAACAACTGCAACCGTGGGAATCACTACGACTCTTTCTCATGAAAATGACTTTCCAAGGTACAAGGAGGATTTTTGATCGGATCTCATCGGTACAAGTACTCAGTTTCCAAGTTCCTATCGTAATTTCTCTATCCGCTGTGAATGAAATGATAACATGGTAGTCGTCGTTTGTGCCTCAAATCATGGGATAACAATGATTATAAGCGTGATATCTTTATCACGACACTCATCACATTCCG